GAGAGGGGAATGAAGAGCGGGCTTTCTGTGTTGTTGGCACGTATCGAAGGAATGTAGTAGTCGAACAGTTGTGGTTCGGCTGTTGACGTAGACTACTGCAGAACTGTAGAAGGTCCTACTACTGTGCTGTAGGGCGGATAATAGTCTTCGGCTGCATCCGCTTCATCTTGAGGGGTGGCGAAACTTCGTTTGGCATTGTAGCGATCAGGATCCCGCTGCTGGCATTCCTTGTCGCGTTCGAAAAAGTTACTCGTAGAAGATGCAGTTTCGGGCATACAAAACCTTTCGGGTTTCATAATCCATAATTATCCAGGAATAGGAATATTTGGGTACACCAAGGTGTATTCCCCAGCGAGCCCGTTCAGTAAATCTGCCCACAGTTGCGCTCGGAGGTCTGCATTGGACCATGCAGCCCCAAACTCGTAACGTGTGGCAAGCTGAAATCGCCAAATATAGAAATCAAATTCCCAAGTATAGAAATCGCGGCCATCAAAGTAAGTTGAGGTCTTCAGCTTGGAGTAGTTAGGAAATCTGTTTGATTTACGACAGCTTCTGCAGCGAATGGTCTTGCTTCAGCTATTTGATGTTGTTGCTGCTGTGGGTGTTGTTGTTGCTGTGGTTGAATAGGTCGCCCATTAAAGGCAAAAGACCCAGCATATTCATCTCCAGGGGTTGAAGGCCCAGCGTCAACAACAGCTCTTGCATAACTAGAGTTACAGTATCAAGGCTCAAAGAGGCTGTACGATGTGCTGGAGCTTGTTGTTGCCGCTGAGTAGACTGATTAGCCATCATCAGTAGATCGTCAATAAAAGGACCAGAAGAAGGAGAATTCGTAGTTGAATTTCCAGTCTTAGCAGCTGACATAATTATAGATCTATGACTTCAGCTTAAGGGCGTAATCGAAATCAGCTTGTATCAGTTATTGTAACTCTACTAGCTCAGAATACCATGAAAAGGTGAACCACGTGTTTAGGGTGGCCAGGATCTATAGTTGGTGGAACCACGGGTAAAAATCAGCGGAAGACTTTACACCTTGTATTGGAAATGTCTGAAATGACAAGGATAATAATAATGAGTAATACAGACATATTTATAGTCTAGGAAGTACCTATTCAGATGTACCTGTTTGTAGTGTATCGCGACTATTCGCGTGACATGACTATTGTCTGTTCGTGTAACAGAGAGTGGCCTGACCCTTCGGGAAAGTATACGCTCGAACCTATTGTTCACGCATTGATTCGCTACTGCTGACGTCATCACGCGCGTCCTTCGATATGAGGTATCGCGCTACTAGTGCAGTCTAAATGTTATATCAAGAATGCATAAGTAAACTCTGTCGAGTATACTTCGAGTATATTTAGATATATATATATATATATATATATAATTTGAGAGAATATGCCACATTTAACGCTGCCACACGCCATTCCCCTTTGTGTGCTGTACATTGTCACCGCACATGAACCCTCCCAAGCCTTCTCGAGCAACATACATGACAACGTTAGAACAGTTGTGGCTTGAATCTTAACATTTTTTCATCGAAGTAGACCAGTCACAGCCCGCTGCAGCCCATAACCTAGATTGTGAAAGCTTGCGTAGATCCTCTTGTAAAGGCAGCGTGCTTCATTTCATACGGGAAACATACATGGTTCTCGTCCCACAAAGAACTACACACACAATAGGGTGGGTGGGCCGGGAAATTGAACTAGAGAAACTAGAAATGAAGAATGTGGGTGAGGCCGACTGGCCTCACGTCCCTCTTTTGTAGGCAAAAGAGGGTGAGTAGTGCTTTGACGCTGCCTTTGCTGCGTTGGCCCTCGCTACACTTTCACAATACATATTTTTAGAAAGTGTTATACGCTTTCAAAGAAATTACATATTGTGAAAGCTTGCTTAGGTCCTCTTGTAAAGGCAGCGTGCTTCATTTCATATGGGTAATCCGAGACATGTGCTGAAGGGGTCGGCGAGGTCGTTCGATAGAGAGAAGGTGATGATTGGGGGTAGGAGCGGCGGCTGCGTCTTGGAGTAGTGTTGAGGCTTGGAGCAGTTGGCCCTTCGCGATAGTAATGTAGAGCTCCTTGGCGTTGTCGCTGCGCCAGCGGCCGGTCGCTAGAATAGCCGGTCGGATATGCCCAAGCTGGCTACCGCAGTCGCAGCGCCTTTGCGGAAGGAGTGGGTGCCGAGATGCGCATAGTCGAGGCCTGCCCTAGTGAAGGCTTTGAGGCACCAGTTCCAGACGGTGGTGTACGAAGGAGCGCTATCTCGTAGGGTTGCCTTGCTCCTGCCTCTGAAGACTCGGATCAATGCCCCATCTGGGGTGGTGGTATGTCATGCGTGGAGAAGAAAATGTCGTGTGCAGCGCACCAGGCAGTAGGGTCCCGAAGTGACGGCGATAGGGATCCACGTGCCCCTTCTTTCCTGGTCAGTCTTGGAGTGTGGGATCAGAAATGACATTGCCTCGGGCTCGAATTGTATGTCGTTCCATTGGAGGCTGACTAGATCAAAATAGCAAAGGAACGCTGCGAACATGAGAATGGGGATGAGCCCTTTCTGATACTCGGCAGGCCAGGTGGACTCGAGGAAGGGCCGGGCCATGGTATGCACTTGGTGGAGCGACAGGGGTTCCTTGGTCTGGGTGGGGCAAGAGCCATGACGTTTGGCGAATTCACGCACTTGTAGCGTGAAGGGGCTGTTTGTAGGAGAGGGCTCACTAGTCATCGGATGTGCAAATATGTGAGCGATATGGCGGATGATGTGGCCTGGTGATAGTGCATGAATGAGGTAGAGTGCCAAGGTCATGTCCGTTGCGGGCAGGTGACTCAACTTTACTTCCGTGCAGAAGTTGCGAAATTTGAGCCAGTATGGTTCGTAAGTTCAGATTGTGGAAGGGGCGCGAACATGTGCAATTACATATAGAAATTGTGTTTGCAGCTTCGACAAGATGCCTGAAAAAAACATGCATACATTACAGTTTTTTTTTTACGATACGTGCAATGCAATCATTTGGCTATGAGGAAGTCCTTGACCAGCAAATGCGAGCAAATGCGTGCCCGAGCAGAGGCATTGGCAGCCGTGGGTGAGGGGGATGTGTGTCATCACTTCTGGCGTCCAGGCGTCAGGTGTTGGTCGGAGCAGTGGCCACCATGATGCTCCCGGCCACTCGGGGAGGATTAAGGTCAGCTCAGCATGCGTGCGTTGGGCATGCCGCAAGGTGGCTGGGATGAGGTTGGGGGGAGGGAACGCGAAGCCGTGCTCGTGATGCCAGCTAAGTAAAAATGCGTCGGACGCTGTGGCCGTGGGGTGGGGAATCTTGCAGCAGAACCTTGTTAGCAGAGCGTTGTGCACGTTTGCTAAGAGGTCGATGGAATGCGGGTCAAAGTGATGGTCCAAAAGCTGAAACCAAGAGGTGTGGAGGGAGTAGTCATCGAGGTCTTGGATTTTGGATTGCTCGTCGGCGTGCGCGTTCAACTCCTTCGGGGTCCATTCAATGGCAAGCCTTGTCCGATTCTCCAGGCAAAGATGAATGATTGCTTGGCATAGTAGCGTGAGCGTGGGATGGCGTGATCCACCCTTGCATAGTATGAATACCACCCCTTGATTGTCCACACGAACTAGCACATGGCGCTTAGGGATATGGGTGGCAAAAGTTTGAAGTGTCCATAGGACTCCCTCGAGCTCCCATTGAGTACTGGAGGTTGACAGGAGTTCCTCGAGCATGCGAGCACTGGCTTCAAGGGCCGTCCCGGGAAGTCGCGTAAGGGTGGCACCCCAATTGTGTGCACTTGTATCGGCGTGAATGACTTCGTCAAACTGGTGGTTGAGATGGAATGGGGTTCCGTTGAGTCGGTCAAAGTGTGCCAGCCAAAAGCGCAGCTCTTGCACTGCTGCCATCAACAGTTGTGCCTTGTTGTGCCAAGATGTGGCTTCAGCAATCAGGCAGAGAAGCTCATGACTGAAGGCGTGTGCCGTGGCGCCCAACGCCAGGGCCATGGAGGACAGCATTCCAGTGGCTCTTGCAAGGGACCGGACGGGGACCGATCGCCCCTCTGGCCCCTGGGTAATGAGGGCTTGAAGTGTGGCGAAGAGCTGTGCTTGACGTTCGAGTCCGACGGAAAGGGTGCCGTGGGCGGCGTCGATCCCCAGGCCAAGGAAGTCATTTGGCGCTAGGAGTGCAAATGCGACTTTTTTCCATTGATGACAAAGCCCGCTGCCTTCAGGTCTTGTACGATTGTTGCACAAGTCGCACGTACATGTGATTGGGAATTGCAAAGGAATAGTAGGTCATCAACGTATGGAATGACCCGCAAGCTGCTTGCCCGCCATGGCTTTGCCAGTTGTTTGATCAGTTGTGTGAAAACGAATGGGGTTGTTGTGTGGCCAAATGGAAGCAATCGGAAAGAGTAGTAATTTCCTTTGAATTGGAGCCCCAAGAGCTTCCAGAAAGAGGGGTGGATCTCGACGTGATGATAGCTAGATTTTAGGTCGATGGAGAACATCCAGTCGCTTGTGCGGATGAGCTCAGCGACCCGGTTCAGGGCTTCGTACTTGAATTTTGGGGTTTCGAGGTAGGTATTGACTTTGCGCAAGTTGTGGATGAGGCGACACTTGTTGCGTTGCTCCACCACGTTGAGTGGGCTAACGCACAATAGCATGTCCTTCACGGGGATTCTGACGGCAGCGCCCGAGGTTATAAGATCGTGGACCACACCGCGAGTGAAGTCCAGGTGTGTGTGGACTCCCGCATGATTGCTATCCTCAAAGGCATGTGGCGCGATGTTCTTCCAAGGTAGCCAATAAACTTTCACGATGATGGACAGGATGAAGTTGCTGTCCCACCATGAACACCACCAGTGCAGGGTGTGACGCAATCAATTATGCATGATTTTCACGTCCTTGTCCATAATAGCGTACCCATAGGGATCATGTCCATTGCGTAGCCATCCGTCGCCAATTTCTGCGCAGCCATGGGTCGGGTGGCAGACAAAAATACATGTCTCACTTGAGTAGGCTTAAACTAGTCGATCGCACTAGGCGTGGGAGACATGGCTCCTCGTCTTGCCGCTTTCTTCATTGTTCATACCTTTGTGCTCTCTTATTTTCTCTTTCTTTCTCTCTCTCTCTCTCTCTCTCTCTCTCTCTCTCTCTCTCTCTCTCTCTCTCTCTCTCTCTCTCTCTCTCTTTCTCTCTCTCTCTCTCTCTCTCTCCCTCTCTCTCTCTCTCTCTCTCTCTCTCTCTCTCTCTCTCTCTCTCTCTCTCTCTCTCTCTCTCTCTCTCTCTCTCTCTCTCTCTCTCTCTCTTTCTCCCTTACTCGTGTGCTCTCGTTTCGGGTTGTCATTGCTCCCTCATCCCTTTGGTTGGTTGGGTGGAGGTAGTATGCGCCATCTCGCGAAACACTTTGGTGGGTTGGGGGATGGGCCCTTTTTTTTTTCTTTCTTTCTTTCATTTTTGCCTTGTTTGGCGGCGTTTTGTTTCCAAGGGCCAGAGCCACCTCATATGGGGGGGTTGCTTGCAGCTTACATCATACTTTCTTCGGCCACCTTGGCCAAGACTCATAATGCTTAGCAAGTCTTAATATCTTAACTTCAAATTGCCGTTTGCGGCATACAAATTCCATGCATGGAATACCACAAGGTCCTAGGCTCATGGCTGTTTCTGCCCCTAGGGCTGCCCTAGTCTACTAGGTCATATGACTTACTCTAAGGCTGGCCACCAGCCATGCACCCCCGGTGCAGCCCAATATGCCTTGTGCATATTGGCTAAGGGCACCTCCCTAACACCCCACTAACACCACAGGTGAGGGGCATTGTGCTCCTCGCCCACCCATGAGGCACGCGTTTGCCATGTGGCCCGGCTGGCCACAGCGGAAGCACAATCCCTTGAAGCGTGGCTGCTGGCACGTGAGAGGGGGGGAGCCTTTGAGGTCCATTTCTCTGTCACGGCCGCTGGGACGACCACCACGGGGGTAGATGGCATGTGCGTGCTTTAGTGCAGCCACGTCGGCGACCGCGAGCTTGTAGGAACGGGACACCAGCACACTCTTGGACTGGTACAACTGGAAGCGGTCAGCGGCCTTGAAGCCGGCCTCATCCGCCACGAGAAGCACCTTGAAACACCTATTAATAAGCATCTCGATGTGTTTCACGCTGTTGAGTGCGCCAGTGATGTTGCCGTGCTGCAGCTCGAAGTTGATATGTTGCAGATGCGCTTGGATGGCAGTGAAGACTTTGGCTTGGTCATGCACGCCCTTGCGAATGAAGGTAGTTGCTGCGGGCGTGGGACCAAGGGGGGGAAGAGGGGGGGCGGGGGCGAGAATAAGATGGCGAGCAATATTGGTAGGAGCCTCACCATCATCATTCTTAGAGTCGTCGCTGTCGTTGGTGTCGTTGGCGAGTGCGGGAGTCCATGCTGGGGGCTGGTTGTCGACGTGCGGAGCCTTTGGCGTGCGAGTAGGTGGTGGCATTTCTTTCTTCTTGGCGAAATTAGTCGTAGCAGTTATATTGTCCGAAGATGTTCCGATCGTAACATTCGGCTGCTGGTGCTTCGCAACCGCGCGATTTTCTTCGGGAGCAGCGCGATTGGAGCCGAGCAGAACCTCGAGAGCCGAGGGCCCCTTGCCAAAATTGTCCTCAGCATGACGTTTCTGGCGACAGGGAGTCTCCCCGGCCAAAGTTCCGGGCTCCGAGGAAAGTTGGGGTTGTTCGTTGGATGATTAGGAGCTGTGTTCGTCGACACCATATTAGCGAGGTTGTGTTGCAAAATGTCGGCGAGGAGCGTCGTCGGAGCCTTGCCTCGGGGGAGGGACTGGGTCTTTGCCAGGTTGGATGTGAACTGAAGAAATTGAACTAGAGAAACTAGAAAGGAAGAACGTGGGTGAGGCCGAGTGGCCTCACGTCCCTCTTTTGTAGGCAAAAGAGGGTGAGTAGCGCTTCGACAAAGCCTTTGCTGTGTTGGCCCTCGATACACTTTCACAATACACGTTTTTAGAAAGTGTTACACGCTTTCAAAGAAATTACATCTTGACAACGCACGATTCTTGCTGGCTTCTTATCCATCTATTTCTTGCTGCTGCCCCACTTACGTTACTTGTCAGAAGAAACTGATGGTTTTCGTCTTCATCGGCATCCTTCTCCCAGTCCATTCCTTGCTTAGTTTCTCCCCTCATGAACGCATGCCAGCATGGCTGACAACGACGCCGATCCCGATGGCCACAAACCAAGCCCCACCGCCTGCGAGGTTTCAACGTCTTGCGTTCTAAGCTGGCGCGAACCCGCGCTGCAGAATCCTCAGGCCCTCCGCCGCTACTGACACAAGGCAGCGCCTTTCGCTGCCAAATCATAAGTTCCAGCCCGACTTCACCCCACCCCTCGTCACGTCAGTTACTCTTTAAGAGTTGTAAAATACCAGCCCCCTCATCACCCATCCCCTCAATCACCCCGCTCTTTCCCCATCCACCTAGCACACGCACGAAGACGGTGGTGGACTTTCTGGCAGCATGCAAGGGCCCCAGCTTTCCGCGCTCCTACTTCATATCCGAGCCTGCTGCCATCAACGGGTGCAGCAAGAACGCAGCCCCACTAGGACAGAGCAAGGTAAGTGACATGTTAATGCACGTGCTGCTGCTTTCGTGGATTATGGTGCGTTGGCCATATGAGGGGGGGGGGGGGGACATGAGGATGTTGATGATAAGTAGAGTATATATGCTAACTTGCTGCCCTTACATGCTTGTGACCAGGGCTCTTAAAGTAGTTCCGTTGCAACAATCTCCTTGGGTGGCATCAGAATTTGTAGGCTGATTATCCTGAATTTTTAAACATTTTTTTGTCTTTTCTTTGCGAAATCAGACAAGGTTTTCAGAATTCTCTCAACGTGAAAAATCAATCAGACAAGTGCGGAAAACTAGTCTGATCCTTCAGACACGTTATTTTTTAAAAGAGAAACCGGCAAGCAACGTCTTCCCCTATCCGCTATGCTCACTCTTTCAAAAATATACGTATATGTTACTATTGGCTAGATAGGTGCGTACTCTTAGAGAGTACAACCCCTTAGACAAAACCATGCTGTATCTCACATTCTAGCCAACTTTTCTACTCTAGGATGGTATCACGCTTTAGGTTAGGTCCTCCTTGCCCACCCGCGCTTCCGCTTTAGTCCTAGCCGCCCGTTCCTAGCCGCCCGTACCTAGCCGCCTGTCGCTAGTTGCCCGTTTCGAGCCGCCCGTTTTAAGCTGCCCATCGCTAGCCGCCCGTAGCCCAGCGCCCGCTGGCCCCGCGATCGTCATCCCCGCGCTCGCAGGCCCAGAGCTCGCTGGCCCCTCACCTGCTGGCCCCGTGCACGCCTGCCCCGTGCCCGCAAGCCCTGAGCTCGCTGGCCCCGCACCTGCTGGCCCCGCGCCCACCCGCACCACGCTGCTGGCCCCGATATCGCCCGCCCCCACCCGCTGGCCGCGCTCTCGCCAGCCCCCCGCCCACTGGCCCCGATTTTGCCAGCCCCGCGCCCGCTGGCCCCGCATTCGCCAACCCCTCGTCGCCATCCCTGTATCCCACTGGCCCCGATTTCGCCCACCCCGTGCCCGCTGGCCCCGCTTTCGCCAGCCCCGCGCTCGCTGGCCCTGATTGCGCCAGCCCCGCGCCCGCTGGCCCTGCATTCGCCAGCCCCGCGCCCACTGGCCCCGCATTCGCCAGCCCCTCGTCGCCGGCCCCGTGTCCCACTGGCCCCCGCGCCTGCTAGGCCCGTGCCTGCTAACCCCGCGCCCGTCAGCCCCGCACCTGCTGGCCCCATGCCCACCAGCCCCGCGCCTGCTGGCCCCGCGCCCGGCAGCCCCACGCCTGCTGCTCTCTTGCCGACCGCAGCTCCGCCGGTCCCAGCCTGCCCCGGCCCTTCCTACCGCTGAGCCGCGCTGACCCGCCGGCCTTGGCTCTTCTTCTGAGCTGGCGCTCCCACCGGCAGGCTCCACCGTGCTCCACCGCACTCTACCGCACTCCACTGCTCTCCACCGCTCTCCACCCCTCTCCACCGTCAGCGGCAGTCAGCTACTGCAGCCGTGGTAATGGCGGACTAAGTGCTCCGCATGGACGCGGAGGGTTGGGTTGTTGAGTTTGAGGCGTGACACGTCAACCTCCGCCGCCTGCTGACTGGTCAGCGCCAGGACGGCCACTCCCTGGCCGTCCATGTCGACCGTAAGCTCCCTCGCCCACCATGCCCGCTGCCCTCCCTGACGCCCCCACGTCTGCTGAGCATGAGGCTTTTGTCGCTGCTGAGCTTGCCTGCGCTGTCTGAAAGTCGCGCGACGCCAGTGCACAGCTTGTCATTAGTCACGCCCTCCCCCTGTCTGAGCGTCCCCGCTTTACCACTGTAGCAAACGCCAAGGAATACTTAGATGCCGTCATCGCGTGCTATTCCACTCCCTCGTTAGCCTCTGCTGGCCATCTGAACCTCCCCATACTGTTCGCTACGCCGACACCTGCTTAACGTGTGGCCGCACTCCCAGCGGCCGCAGGTTTTGCGGGCCCTTCTTTGGACCGGGTTCCCTGGTGACGCGTCTGCGTTTCACGTCTGGGGCTGCCTTGCTCATGTCTAGGTCGTGCCTCCGGCACGGACAAGCTCAGTGCCCACACCGTCCCTTGTGTCTTCCTTGGATTCACCCTGGACGCGTCTGACTGGCACTTCTACCACCCGTCGTCTCACCGTTTCTTTCACTCTCGTGACGTCACTTTTGATGAGTTTGTCTCCTTCTATACCCGCTTTCTCCACCGAGGTCTCCCGGTTGCCCTGCCCCTATTCCTGGTTCCCACTCCCTCGGTAGCCCCTGCTCCTCTTCCTCCCCGTCCTGCCTAGTCTGGTGTGTCGCATGTCACTCCCCTCCTGTCGATTGTGCCGTTGGAGGAGTCGGCTGACTCCGGGGGCCCCGCGGCTTTGCGTTCGCCGCCTGTCTCTGCCCCGGTGTCTCCTCCTCCTTCTCCGCCATCGCCAAAGCACCCATTGTCGCCCCCTCAGACGTCACAGCTAATGCAGCCGTCGCAGCCGCAGCAGCAGCTGCTGTCGCCATACCAGCCGCCGCACGGGTCCGCGAGCTCAGGGGGTGCGGGCGCTGAGGAGGGTGCTAGTCCTGGGGGTACTGTCGTGGCTTGTCCCGGCGCTCCTAGTGGTGGTACCGGCGCTGGAGAGGGTTCTCGCTCTGGGGGTGCTGTTGTGGAGCGTCCCTAAGGCAGCCGTGGTGCAGCTAGAGGTTTTGGTGTCGATGTGGAGCAGCAGCAGCCGTCGCAGCCGGTGACCGCCCTTCGCCGCCTAGGAGAGCTGTGCTGCTACCTTGGCCTGCAGATCTCAGGGATAGAGCAGTGTGCCCCATCACTCTCACACAGTCACACTTGGTGCGCCAGGTCCTTCAGAGGTTCGGTCTTCAGTTCTCCTCCGCACAGCCCACACCTCTGCCAGTAGATCACAGGCTCTTAGCTCCAATTCATGAGAAGTCAGTAGAGCCTAGTGGTCCGTACGCAGAGCTGGTGGGTTGCCTCATGTACCTGATGACTTGCACTCGTCCAGATCTCGCATACCCTCTCAGCATCCTG